AAATTTACAAATAATATTTAAATTTACTTTAATTTTATTTAAATTTACAAATAATATTTCTGCAAAAAGTTCACTTATAAAATTAGATGAAGGACAACTGCAATTCAATTATTACACAACTACCTTTAATAAATTGCGCCCTGGCGACTTCACTCGCCAGACGAAACGCGGGGTACACTACACATCAGTCTTTCGCCCCCCGGACGGACCTGGCCATTCCTGTAACAACAAACTTTGCGTAGCCCTACCATGGTTAAATTTATATTAATTTAATACAAAAATTATTAATTGCTATACTTTTTCTTTGTGAGCGTCACCACAACGTATAAGATTTTTCGTACTATCATACTATCGACATGCCAACGGTAGGTCTGATAGATGATTTTCATCAAAAATATCAATAAATACCGATATGGATATACACAGATGGATTCCTCTCGCGTTTTATTTGGTGAAACCTGAAAATACTTGAGGTTTCGAACGCTTTAAAGCATCACGGGACAGCTATGTTCCGTTAATGTAATAAAATCCGTCATATAGTCTAATTTAGCCTCATGTAGTATTTGCATAAATATGCTACGTAATTTTCTCTTAAGTTGAGAGAAAGCAAAATAAACTAAGAATCGATTCAGCGATTTAGCATACCGTTGATCCGGACACTGAGCTATCACGGATTTAAAACAGATATAACAATAAATACTAGTGATGTATTTAATATCTGTCTATCGACTGAGACGTAATCGAATCGGCTCAGCAGATGAACCAAATTTTAAAATACAAATTTTCTCCTCTTTATAATACCAAAGAAGACCATAAATCCAATCATAGATAGAAGAAATAAATTGAAAATCCCATTTTTTTCCCACTTTATTTTTAATTAACTTGCTTGCCCCGACTTCAAACGGATATGACTAGAGAAAGTTACGGGCATTGATAAATTTTCCGTTTTTCGACTTAGCGTAATATAAAATGCACAAATAATAATTCATAATCTCGAATTTATTTAACAATCAATATAATATGATACAAAAACTGTCCCATAGCTTGTTAGCTTTTTCGGTTTTTCTTCAGATTTGAACTAAAGAAATATCAAGATATGTAAATCAATAATGGCTTTCATAGGATTAAAATATAAAGCATGCCATAAACGACAACAAATACTACTAAAAATAGATTGGTGGCTCAAAAAGGAATTGTGTGCATTGACTTTTGACCGTTATTTTCCTCTTTTTTATTCGTCGTACCATTTAGCGTCTTGCTTTTGTTGCGGCCTACTCTAAAACTCTCCTATTGAGGTGAATGATTTACTACAACGTATCACCGCTGCAATACAGAGCTTGTGTTCTCTGTGTAAGAGCATTTTTTGCATAAACAACTTAAGATAAGAGCATTCAGGTTAAGCGGCTGTGTTTGTTCTCATTGCTCAACAATGAGGGATCTGTTTGTGAAAGAAAATGTAGGCTGTGTTGCTGCTTTGGTTTTGTAGTTTTTAAGTAAAAAGATGTTCCATCTAGCGATGCGAGCTGGCAGTTCACCAGATGTTAAATGATAACCTCCGCCAGAGGACATTTGCAACACCGCAGTGCTTAAATGATTTCATAATTTTGATGTTGCGATTCACATAACATCTTCGAGTTACCTTGTTATAAGAACTAAAAGATATTGGTCCTTTGTTATAACGATGTTTTACATACACAAATCTCTTGTGTTTAATTACCTGTCCCATGTGAGAATCGAAAGTACGACCCTCGACTCCAAAGTTAGCTTGCCGAATGCACCATTGATTCATCAAGTCAAATTCATATTAAATTACAAGCCAATTATTCTCTAATCAGCTCATTACGTGGGACGGTTTTTAAAGGTTATTTGTTAGCGGTAAGAGTATTTCTTTGTCAGTCAGTGTTAGTTAATGATGTTTTGTTATAAAGACGTTGCTTGTCTATACTGCGTGGCGTTTAAAAATTGTTCCGCTTTACATTATTTGACATTACATTATAAGTGTGACATTACATTATAAGTGAATGTGACAGATTACGTATAGCGTAAGATACGGAAAGAAATAACAGTCTGTTAAATTGCAATACAATGACAGCAATTGGTTTAATTTGAGAGCCTCAGTTTCAGTAATTAAAATAGAATAAAAATTAACAAATATAGATTAGAAAGACAAATTTTAAAATTAAGATTATAGAAATTGAAATCCCCTTAAAAGTTAAAATGATATTAGTTTCTTACTTACTACATATAATAAGATTGTTTTGTTTTGATAATTGGTGTGACAGCTAAATAGCGTTACGTGGCGTTTCAGTATACGAAATTTTCACTGAGTAGCGTTTAGGTACAACTTAACTTGACGAATTTAGTGTTTACGAGCTGCTCAAATGTTTAAGGTGCATTTAAATATTTAAGTAACGTTTCAGTATTCGGCCCTTAGTGTCATATTTACTTGTATTTATAATTATATTATAATATCATTGGTGTCAGTTGTACTTACTGTATTGGATTCAATTTAATGTATCTCTCTCTATTCAACATTGGTATTACAGCAGTCGTTAAATTCTTTTAACGGCTTGAAATTCAAAGTCCAATGGACCGTTTGAATATCATTTTTTATTTCGACAACGCACAAAGGCTGCCGACAGCGTTTAACATATTTTAGGGTGATTTGTTTGCCGTTTAATAAATCCCGTCGCGTACGTGTCGCCCAGCGTGAATTTTAAGTTGAAGTTAGAGGGCGAAGCGGAAAGGAGTATTGGCACTTAAGTTAAGTTAGTGGCGAGGAAGCCTTTAATAATGCAATAAACAATCGAGAAATTATGCAGTGCGATATAAGTTACCAGTGGTTATAAATAATTTTTGTGTTGATGCGTTTAAAATTTGTATTCAGATACAAGATTTATATCATACCTAGCTGTAAACGGTTTGAAACGTCGGGTATTAAAATTAAACATAAAAGCGATAAATTCGTAAAAATAGTTTAATTTATCATACTAGCTGTTCAGTTAAGTTTCAGTCTGTACATCAAAATATGTCTTTTTACCCGACTACTGAAGGTGGGTAAGTTTTTTCGAGTGTATTCATGTACGTATGTTATTAGTAGTAGTACGTACGTAAGTTGTTATTAGATTTGTCTCCATCGCGGGAGTAGCATAAGGTATATTTTAATTACGACACCTAATTTTTTTATTCTGTGAGTTTAGATTGGCTTCGGCGTCGGAGGTCGCGGGTTCGATTCCCACACGGGACAACTGTTTGTGTGAACCACAGATAGTTGTTTCACATCTGGGTGTTTGTCGACGTGAAATTTATGTTTGTAAAACGTCCCTGCAACACAGAATAATGTTATCCTAAAGTAAGGGCAATGTGTTTTAAAGAAGAAAAAAAAAGAAAAATTATATTGAAGGCGAGAATATTTAAATTTCTGATTTTGTTTGCATCGTATTAGAACGTTTTTTGTAAAGTACGGTTACTAGGTACTAAAGGTACTAAAGGTACTAAAATTTAATCTCACGTAAAAACCTGATCCAATATCACGCTGATGTTGATTAACAACTCATTTCGTCGTTAAAGGATGAACGGTAATCCTAATTAGCAACCCATATTCTTTTTTCTTTGTATCGCAGGGATATAAAAAGAATGGAGAAACTCTCCCCCTAGGGATGTCAGTTATTATGTGTCGGTTTTCGCTGACAGATCCGATCCTCTAGAATCCCCTTTGAAGCATGCCGGTGCTTCTCTGTACTGCATGTAAGCACACTCAGGGGATTAAGAAACCTCCGCCTATTACTTTACAGCTTTGCTCTAAGACGTGACCAGTTTGTAGTATCGACCTTAATTACTCGTATGATCTAACTACGAATAGCCCAGTGACCTATGTCCTATTCAAAACCCGGGGCTATAGGGCTAGTGGTTTACATCCGAGCATATTAGCTTGAACTTATGTTGTCTACTGGTTCTTGGGAATAATTGAATTTTATTCTTTGTCTTTTTATCTCATGGATTCTGAACTGTAAAAAATAAATATATATATATATGTATATCTTTATTATGCTATCAATAAACCTCATCACACATATATCATAATTTACACTAAGAAACCACTGTGTTCATTGAATTACTTTATTTTATCCTGCGATAAACAATATCTAAAAAAAAAAACACTTATGTGATTTTAAAAATTCGTGATCTTCGTTTTAAATACGCATGGGCACACGCGCTTGTTTCAGACCAGACCGGCAGACGCTAAATACAATACGCTTGTTTTCTTGGTTAAGAATCTATTTCATCCTGAATAATTTTGACTGGCTCATTGCCTGGACAACAGAATTAAAGTTGGCAGTTTTGGTTCTAACGCAGTAACAGTAGCGTGGAAAATAATGTGACGAAAGTCACACTTACTTATGAGTGTATTTTTTAAACATTAGCTTACCTATTGGCTGTAATTCTTGACAGGAGGCACGAAATGGGCACAAAGTACGACACCTTTATATATATTTCTTATAACAATATATTATAACTTGGTACGGTTATACAGCAAAACTAGATCATGTTTACATAACGCATAGTATTATGGCAAAGTATGAGTTCAAAAAATTCAAATATTTTCTTAACCATTTATACTGCGTTACTACGACCTTCCAAGGAACGTGTATCATGTACAAAATAAAAATCAAATTAAGTTCTAATAACATTACTAATTTATTATACATCCTTAAATATTAATTCATTGTTTATCTAATTATAAAACTATATCAGTCACATTTGGCCATTTCAGCCTAGACGCCATCATTAAGACTACAACAACTAAGGATAGATTTAAAATTTTAAATCTATCATTAGGAGGCTATCCACATTTTTACATAATTGGACCTCGTCAACACTAAAATTTTATTAGAATACTAGTACATAACAGGATCACCGGAGATCATGCTCACCGGTTACAATCTTGGTTACCGTAAGAGTTCATAAAGTCACAATATCAACTTAGAATTTAACGATCATGAATCCGTCAATTCTTTCTTCGTGTGTTCGGCTTCTGACTTTCCGATATTGACGTGGATTGTTATCGCCTCGTCAGTATCTGACTTCATGATTATATCGTTCCATTGGACTTCGGCCTTCTTGCTGTACACTTCATTTTCTATCAGTATCGCAGATTTCGTGCATAGAGCTTTGCTCTGAAACTCTATTAGGGCGCAATAATCACTCTTCTTTGTCTCTAACTTCGCGTCCGCGATATAGCCCAGCTTTCGTCGCATCACTTCGACTTTCACGTGGAAGTTGTAGATGCACACTTTGATGATGAAGGCGCTCTTCTGGTAGAGCAGGATAATTTTGTATTTCGTCCTGCAGCACGCGGTCTTCTTGAGCTTCGTCTGGAAGTTCTCTATGAGGATTTTAATCTTCTGCGAGTAGACCGCTATGATGTTGTGGTGGGACTGCAGGTGGGCGGATAGCTCCTCGAACGCTACCGAGCAGCATGTCGCCGTGATGGGGCATATCATCGTGTCGAACTTGCACTCCTCCTCATGCCTCGCCCTGGTTGTCGCCGTGAGCAGTTCTGTGCATCCGCGCCTGGTGACAATCGAAAAACGAATACTGTCATAAATAATAACTTTTGTTTTGCTTGTATGTCTCGCTTGCGCTCTTATTAACCCATCTTATTGAGTGAACCTATCCATGTTATTATTTTATACTAGTTGTGCCCGCGACTTCGTCTGCGTGAAATTTAAAAAAAGTTCTAAAACAAAAGTAGCCGAAGTTACACCTTATTACATCATCTATCTGCCAGTACAAGTCCCGACAAAATCAGTCCAGCCGTTTCAGAGATTAGCCGGAACAAACAGACAGACAAAAATGATAAAAAAATATTATTTTGGCATGTATACCGTGTATATATCCTTAAGCATTAAGCAAAAAGCGGTTATTTTAATATTACAAACAGACAATCCAATTTTATTTATCTGTATAGATTTCTTTGAAATCGTTCAGTTTAATATTACAAACATACAACAAAAGGGGGGGGGGGGGGGGGGGGGGGGGGGGGGGGGGGGGGGGGGGGGGGGGGGGGTAGTTCCAATTTTATTTATCTGTATAGATTTCTTTGAAATCGTTCAGTAGTAAAACTCTTGCATTAGCAATACAAATAATACTAACTTCCTCATAAAGCACCACATTAAGTTAATCATTAAATTGGTAAAATGAAATGAACGTTTCCAAGCTTATGATTTTCAAAATTAACAATAAAGACGCAATTAATTTATCGTAAGACTTAAACTTGAATACATTCACTATAAATAAATTATATCATATCTAAAAATGCGATATATTAATATGTAAGTATTACAGTGTGCTTGGATGATTTGACTCGTTTGCTAATCTTGATTTATTGCATAAGCATTGTGCACTCTAACTAAATATATCTCATGTAATCATCTTTGTTTAGAAATATACTCACTGGCTGAGTACGCACGTGATTGTAATTATCTGAGGACTAAGCTGAGACCAAGAATATGTTTAAAAAAAAACTATTTTCTAGTTTGATGTATGGCAAATACTATACATTTAAGACTTATATATTGCCATGTTAATAAATATTCTTTTTTCTAATGATTTTTTCTATTAGTGAATACTAAACATAGTTTAATAAAACTATTTGAATCAAATGATAGAAATAGGCGAAACGTCTTGTACTACGGATATTACATTTGATCGTCAAACAGAGATCTACGTGACGCCAGTCCCTATTAATGTATTAAGTATTTATTTATATGAAAAATCTATCAGATTAACATGTTTATTTATACTATAGCAAATAAATGTATAATAAAGTTGTATACTATAGCGTCTGGTCGTAAAGAACCTAGCTAAAACCACAACAAGATTTACACGTTGTGCCGGTCCCAACTAGATGCGGAAAGGACAGCAGGATGATGATAGCAAAGAAATCATTCTAAAATGGAATATGCGAATTCTATCCAGATAAATAAAATTGGGGCGACTGTTTGTAAAATTAAAATAACCGCTTTTTACTATATGCATATGGATGTATACATGGTACATATACCAAAATAACATTTTTTACAATTTTTATCTGTCTGTCTGTCTGTTTGTTCCAGCTAATCTCTGAAACGGCTGGACCGATTTGGACGGGACTTTCACTGGCAGATAGCTGATGTAATAAGGAGTAACTTAGGCTACTTTTATTTTAGATTTTTTTTTAATTTAAAATTTCACGCGGACGAAGTCGCGGGCACAGCTAGATTTTATAATAAAAATACTAATATTAACTGAAGAATACAATATACTATATATTATAAATAAAACGAGCCAGGTTTTCAAAAGGGGAGAGGAATTAGTTGCCTTGTGAAAGAATGACAAAGAAGAGGTAGAGCTAATATAACTATTTTAATTAAATTATATATTAAGCGGCCACATTACTGAGAGAATTGAGATAAATGAAAACTAATGATCGGCAAATTGACTTTAAAAGGGAAGGCCGCGTGTTTTCCGTATCGGGGAAACAAAATATGCATATTCCTAGCTTTTTGTTTCCCTCATATATTGCCCTCATTTCCAGTTATAAGCCGCGAGTGGAAGCTGCTTAAAAACTTATTAAGGACCTTGGGGTTGCAAAAAGCGATCTGCTATAAAGCAGCAACAACGCATATCAGTGTTTAAGTAACAACTTTATATATGTGGCAATGAAAAAGACGTGTCTGTCCGATAATACGCGTGTAAACGTTCTCGAAGGCTGAACGCCTGGTTCAATAATAAAAAAAGGGGGCTTTGTCCGTATAATTGCTTTTGTAATAACTTACAGTAAGGTAAGGCCTTCTGTTTGTCAACTGCACCATTTACTCGAATCTGGTTAATATTTGAGCTCAATGCGTTAATTTACAACTTTCAAAGTCAAAGTTGGTGGAATTTTTATTGTAGTGTTTTTGATAAAATGCTCGAAAAAACAGATTTGGTTACGATGAAATGAATATATTACATTGACCAGATATTGTACTGAATATATTAAGGAAATTTTCTAAACATTGTTCTATCACTTTTAAATGAACCTGCATGGTGGCACCATGCCATTTATCGTATAGAATAACCTCGAACACGACATTTTTTTCAAACTAAAGTAACATTTCGTTTTATTATATCAATATATCGAGTTGGTTTTGGAGACCAGAGGGTAGTCAAAAGTATTTGAATGATGATGATGATGATGACATGAAAAGAACCAATACACAATTACTTCTACTATCGCAGATGAATTTCTTTATGTTTTCATATTGTTATTTCTTGGATTTGTTGGCTATTACTTGGCTTGGGTGGGGGTCCGTTGGTGGTTGGCGTCTTAGTGCTTACGCTATGATACGTCGACTATCATTCGGATCGTGAAAGAGTATGTTTGGACACTTCGTGTGTTCCGAGTATATTCTAAACTTTGGAGCCGAAGTTGATTGGAGTTATATTGGTGTGGTGTGAGGGTGTGACACCTACGCGATAGTCACATTGATGCGTGCGGCTATATGCAGTACTGCGTCTTGTGGTATTTGCGGGGTGATCTGCGCCTAATATCATTGCATCGTATGATTCTGGTTGACGGAGGTTCGAGGTGATGATGTCTGCTGTGTATGCGGATAGGCTGTATGTTGGCGTGTTGACCTGCGATAGTTGTATTGATGCATGTTGCATTTGGTTACATTGCGTCTTGCGACATTTGCTTGGGAGACGACGCTATTCATAATGGCCGAGTCTGCGTCTCGGTTTGATGCACATCTCAGTAGATTTGTCCAAGTCGGGTTCCTGATGACGGAACTGCAGACTGTCTGACCTCTTTATACGTTTTATCATTATTAACGAATCTCAGTAAAGTTCCCACCGTTCGAACGAATAATGGCAACTTGCTGGTGGGTGAGACAAACTTGATCGAAAATACATTATACTCAACGTCAGAGACACTGACAAATAATTATATGTTTGCCAATTATAAACCCTTCTGATGGCTAAACATAAAAATCACAACTATGGCTATATCTATTTCAATGGTTGGTGGAGCATATGCGTTTACCTCATGTGGATGGTAGCTGGCGGGAGAAAACCTCTCAAGGCTGCGGCGATGCCGTGCAACGTTTTAACCATACCCTTGGGGTGAGCAGTGACTCATAACGCGCTCTGCGACGAAATGTCGTGCTAACCTTTTTAATGGTGGTGATGCCAAAACACTAACAATCACGTCTGCAGTCGCGGCGATCTGGCAAAAGTGGTGGCGCTTACGGAGGGCTTATTATATCATAGGGCCAGAGTGCCTGATCTTTAACACATTCACAAAGACTGGATTTGTCGTCGGCTTGTATGACGTTTACACGCATTGAACATGCTCGACTTCGGTCAAAGTTTGTGCTTACGCACTGCCAAGGGGCCAAGCCCTCTTTATGCTGGAAAAACAGCTTTGCAATGGACTTCGGTCCTTTCCCCAACTTTTTGTCCCTTCTGGGGGGGGGGGGGGGCGCAATATGTTGGTTGGTGCTCACCGCACACGGCGTTGGTGAGTGTTTTCATGGAGCCGTGTGCCTTCCCTACATTTTTTTAAAATGTGGGGGAGCTGTTGACTTGTATCGGGTATGTAAAATTGATGTGAGCCCTTTTCAAGAGAGAAGGGATATTAGTTTAAAATTAAATTGTGAGCCCTTTACAAGCGTGAGAGGGAGTATACAATATACTCTGAGCCCGTCTCAAGCGAGTCGGGATTAGTTAATAAGAAAGCAATCTAGCATTATCTCTGGCTTATACCACAACTAGTGAATATTTATCTATCCAAGATCCACCTAAAAGAATCAAGTTACTAAATAAACACAACGTAAATGCGGTCCTACCGAATATGACGATCACAATAATATTTTATACGGCTAATTATTACCTTTAGAAAGATCCTTTAGAAAGATCAATAATTTATCCTGGTCACGTAATGATGTTAAGGAGAAATATATATATAAGTTTAATTATATATATACACAATAAAGGGGGGGGTGCGAGTTACATTATGAAAGGTTCTCTGTAAAAATCCTGCCAACATTTCTAAATTCGATGGACTGCGTTAAATGATGGGTTACGTAGTCGATTAATTTCTCTATTTATACAGAGAGTCACAACTTCGGAACTGAACACGGTTTCCATCCGGATTTGCCGCTCATCCGCACTTTGTTACAGTCTCAGTATCTATCTCTGTTATATTAAATTTTGTATTAAGATAACATAATATAAAGGACTATGCAAATCCTAATTCGAACACAGGCTATAGTAAAGTAATAGCCTGTATATGTCCTACTGCTATTAAATAAATAAGATTAAAAAGATATTAAGATTAAAGTAAATTATAATATTAAGATTAAAGAAATATTATTTTTTCTTATTATTTCGGAAATATGCAGGTTTCCTCACGATGTTTTCCTTCACCGCGGAGCACGTGATAAGTCAAGCACTTAAAAGGCACCGAGGATCGAACTCAGGTCGCTCGAGTATACTGAATTAAAGGCCGAGCGTCCGGACACTGAGCTATCGCTTTGAGGTTATAGTTAAAGTCAATCACCTGTAATTCCTGCATGGTAGCATCAGGTCGTTGATCAGGCGTTGCAAGGCCAGGCACGGCGCGGCGGGCGCCCGCAGGCTGCCACGGCACCACGCGCATCGAGACATCCTCCTTGAACACCGGCCGCACCAAACCCCACCGCACCACGGGCACACGCAAGGACCGCAGCACTGCGAAGTGACCTCAAGTTTAAAGTAAAAGTAAAGTAACAGCTTATACATGTCCCACTGCTGGGCAAAGGCCTCCTCTATACAGAGGGTATCGGGGCATAGTCCAGAGAGGCGAGCGCCCGGACACTGAGCTATCACGGCTCTTGACCTCAAGTTTAATTGATCGAAATTAACAAAAGTGTGGATTGCCTCAAGTTGCTTAGATCGAGAACTCGAACGCATTAGTGCACTTAATGTTTGCTCTGATCGTAACTTATTTCGTAGTGTAAATTTACCGTCTATCATTAGGTCCTCGCAGAATCAAAGTTTGAATATAAGTGCAAGTTTTATAGGTAACATGGTGGTCGAAATCTAAGCGTGAATTGGCAGTTGCTTTCTTATTAGAAAAGTTGTTAGATTTATTCTTCAAACATGTTAAGTTACAAAAACACAGTTGTAGTGCGATCTCCATAAGCAATTTCTACGAGTAGATATTTTGATGGAAGTATAAAAGTTTAATAAGCTTCGCATACAGTTTTGCGTTTTCCAGTAGCTCAACAAATATTTATATAATTCCACATTTCTATTCATAATGATCTAACAACTCTGTCTAAGTATATTGTTAAAGTTCAACGGGATGGTAAGGTTCGCATAGAGAACTACTCGTAACTGCGTCGAAACTTGCATCGTTCCAAAGAAGGTGCGGCCTTCCTGGGGCGGTTTTAAATAAAACAAATTGAACTTTAATCTTGCCAATTTATAATTGTACTGAAATTTTTAAAGATATTTTAAATATTACGACTTGCCTGTTCAAGTGTAAATCGCTAACAAGGATTTTGATTTAAAAAAAAATTAAAGACATTTATATCGACGGCGAACAGTCAGTTTTTGCTATGAAAAGATTTATTTACACGGTAAAATTAACTAAAATCTGATATTTCGTTGGTGTAATGTGTATTTATAAGTTTATTTAAGTATAAAAAAATATCGCATCATTATAATTTTTATGGTTAATTCCAAATTGCAAAGCTGAACCGCAAGTTTAAATACCCTCGACATAAGCCTTCCGTTTCGTACTAAGTTAATATCACATAATCTCGAATAGGGAACAACTGCTTCACCTCTTGAAAACACTCCTGTTATGACGCTTAATACAAATAACGTAACAGAGAACGCACAGTAACTAAATAAGAAATAACTTATTTAAGTAGTGGAACTGTGATATCTCAGAGTTCTTGTCCTGTGTATCCAAGATTCACGCGTTCGAATATTGGTAATGGCAGCACAAAATGTTAAGTTTAGAGAAACCTACATGAGAGAAATGTATAATTATTTAACGCGGAGGCTTGTGAAGTTATTGATAAACTTCACAAGCCTCCGCGTTGAATAATTAAACCGCACAAAACCATGTGATGTGGACTAAGGCTTTATAAACTCTAAAACCTTTGCTATCATATGGCATATCTTTTCCTTAATTTCTAATAAGTTAATCGCAAAAACGCAGACAAACAAACTTGTTCTGTTCGTACTAAAGAGCCAGGAATTATGTTGATAATAATTGAATGGCAAACAGCCAAAACACCTACACTATGTCGCGTAGCCTTTAGAAGTTTTATTACAAGCTGCCTTGCGTTTACGAAAGTAAACAAATAAAACACAATGAACAAAGGGCAATATTGTTGTATGGTGGAAGGTAAAAAAGGAAAATTAACACAAGCATGAATAAGTAGACAGGCAGGCACGCAACACTATAAAAAACCTAGCGACGTTCCCCATAGATTGTAATGACTGAGTCAAAGACACGCGAGCCAATTATAATCCAGATATATGGTAAACGGACGAGTGTTACTGTCATTTTTCCATATGCGAGTAAAGAAGATCTATAGATACATTTAAAAGTTAGTTTGTGCACGCAACATTACAACACAGTTTAATTATTCTTTTATCTAACAGTGGTAAGGCCACGCAACAGTCTACACTTCGGCACGAACGGGTATGTCCGTCCAGGGAAGTACCACGATATCCAAGAAGACCGGCGTGAAATAGAAGTAAATGTTATGCTTCTGAGATTCATCTGGTGATTGAGGTAGTCGGTACCCACTTTATTAAAAGGTGGTAACGCATCTGCAACCCGGGTGTTGCAAATGTCAATGGGCGGTGGCTATCAGTTAACATCAGGTGAACCACCAGGTCGTTTGTACCTTCTTATATAAAAAAATTATGACAAAGTAATTTCATCGCTTGAACAATCAATGAGAATATATTGTAAACATCTTGCGTATGCAAATGTATTGATTCATTCTTTAACTATTCTTTTGTCATAACTGCATATTTTTCTTGCCCGTAGTCTTCCACTATTTACTGCAACTTTATGTATGCAAGTTTAAGTTATAACATAACTACGCTCTTGCCGAGGCTGAGTAATTTCCATACCTGTAATGGCTCCAAGCATATACTGCACTCTGAGAATCTTGATAGTACTTCATCGCAGTTTGGACAAGTGCATTGGGCGGCGTGACCTACATCCGAAGTGTCAAGTGCTGGCTCGACGATTGGGAGAGGTTTATCTGGAAATAAAGATAATGTACTGAAATAACCTACCGAGCACATAATTATTTAACCACGATGCATCCAAACATGCATTCTTATTTAGCAACAAAAGGCAGATCGAGTGCCTTTTATAGGATACACCGGTGCTATTGCACATCAACTATCGAGCCCCGTGGGAAATTAAACTATCCCCAATTCCCTCACTGCTTTTGTGAGCAACACGAGACCACCACCGGCTGTCTATTGAATCCACTAAAACGGATGACCAGACCCTACCCCCATGAACCCTTTTAGGATACTTTAACCCTATTCTATAGGCCCGAGATTAAAGGGGGTCAATAACCTAGTAAGGCACACTCTAAAAATCTAATATGTACGTCATAAAACCAATGGTTTAAAAAAAAAAAAAACAATGACGTTTCATTCGCTCCGTAAACGATGGCATTGCGTGCGTTTTAATGACGTAATTAATTGATAATAAAACTGTAATTGATAAAGGTTCAATAAGTCCAGTTTGAGAGACCACAACGTACCCCAGGGCATTTTGTGGCCTCTTGAACCGAGGCTTAGCCATTATCTAGTGCACTGCCCTAGAATTGAACTAACGATATAAAGACTTAAGGTATGCACACTTGAGTGCGACCAAGGTCGCGAGTAGACATGCTAAGGCTGCACCAAGTAACAAAGACTTTATTGCAAGCTGTTATTATAATTATTAAATAAATGAAGGAAAAATTCAAAAGTTAATATTTGTTAAGAACCATGAATACTTTATTGATAGAAGATGTTTATTTGGTGATAGACAGTTTCGAGTTCGTTTTTAAATCAAGGTTTTTACTATGCAGCAATCTTGTTATTAAAGCAAAATGCTGTTTTAAAACAGTGATACGGATTTGATCACAGCAATTAAGTTTTAATTTAACTTTCGAAAATTTTAAAATCTTACAATGGCTTGGGTTAACAACGACGTCGTGACGCCAAAAGTCAAAAGATATTGCGTGATCATGAAATCTGTAAAACATTTAAAATAATCTAGGTAACAAGTCCATTTTTTTTAATAACGAAAAACAAAACCACCTTCAAATATCTGGCTCTGTATTCGTTTTATAATTGATTTTCAGGACTTCCCTAAGTATCTCCGGAGCCCAAGATCCGCGATACCAATGAAATTAATGTGGGCACACATGGGAAACTCCAGCTTTCAAATAAAACAAGAATCATCAAATTCGGTTTACTCAGTCGAAAGTAGAATTAAGAATAGGGGATTCTCAATCTTTTTTTTTAAGTCGTTTAAAAAAAAAAGCAATTCTAAGTGAGATAAATCTGTAAAGTAGGTAGTTTTAGTTAAATCCGTGGTATTCGTGTAAGAACGTTGTGCAACTCAAGACAACGTAGTTAACTTCTAAGTTAAGACCTTGATAACCTTACAATTATTAGGTTCTCAGGCTCAAATATCAATGCCGGCATAGATGCACTCCTTTGCCCTCGTCCTCCTTTACTTGAAAGGCGATACCATCACGAGAAGGTTCGAATGCGCTAACTTCAACACTGCATAGTTGTAGTTACACATGGGTAACTACAATTTGAATGCTTATTAACATGTAACAGTTTATTATTTCCCTATATTTCGAGTGGGATAGACAGTATTGTGTTTACGTTCTAATATCACGGTCAATCTCAGCCGGCGCAAACCGTTTAGAACATTAATTTTTTCGATTTACGCAGGATCGTGAAGTGTTACAGTATTGGTGCGTTTTGATTTAATTTTGATTATAGAATTAGCATTAGAATTTAAAACTTCTGAACGTCCCTGGCACCATGCCGCTTGGGCTAGGTTCATTAGATAGCATGTAATTTATTTTGTATTTAATGTTGTAAACATTATTGTTCGATAAACTTTGTGCTCTTAAAAAAATAAAGTATTTGTTACACACGTGTGTAAATGAGTAGAGTGTACTTTATGTAGTAACCGTAGTACCGTAATGGCAGCAGTATGGAGGAAATATTCCTATTATTTGGAATACAACAAGTGTCTAAGAGACAATTGCATGTTGATTTAAGAAAAAAGGCCAAAATGGGATTCGTATCGCAACAGAGTGTTGCGTAATTCCGAGGCTAACTATGTCAGTCAGACGAAAGAGAAAGGTTTTGAGGCTAACGCTACGGGTGTTGCTAAAACCAGTTTCGCGGTTTGAGCAATGATGTCAATTGCACGGGCGGATTCAACTTCGAAAAATCTCTTATACTTGGTGTTTAGACCAATTTTTGCTATCGTATTTAGAATGTGAGTAAAGGAAAATTTACTCCAGAGTACTAAACGGTATGTTTAGGGTTCCGTAGCCCAAAAAGTTATAAGGTGAATCCTTGTAAAATCACTCTCTTGTTCGTCTGTCCGTCTGTCCTTGTGTCACCATCGGTTTTCTCAGAAACGGGTGGCCCTGGCAAGTTGAATTCCATTATGGCGGTAATGGGTAGCTACGGAACCCTCGGCACACGAGTTCGACTCGTACTTGACCGGTTTATTTTTCCCCATGCTTAGTCTTTTTTGAAAATAAACTTAAATAAGACCTTTACAAGCTAGAGTGTATACTGCATGAGATACTATTTTAATGATAAAACAATATTATCACAATTTTCAATACCGCTTATTCGAACATTTTATATCACATTTTTGGGGTTATAATATTCTATAAGCAACTATCATTTATTTGTAAATATGTCCGTTTATTTTCAATTAAACTTTTATTACTCGTACTTTAAATTAGTGCACCTACCACAATTTGCAGAGATTGACAATTGGCATAAAGTCCACACCCTATGAAATTGCCCATTTAAGGTAATGCAATAAAGGATAAACAAACATTTAATTCAGTCAAACCCATTTTTATACATCTAGTGAGCATATTGTTAAAAAGGCGTTAAAGATTTTATTGAATTAAATATAAAGAAATAACAAGCAATGAAAATAAATAAAAATATATAACAAATTAATAAAAATACTTGCATAAGGAGCTATATAGTTTAATTAAAATTTGGTTATATAAAATATCGATAAAATAAAGAATGTGTACCAAAAATAATTGAAAGGTTATTGAGAAACGGTAGAATGAGGTCGTTATTAAATTAATCCAAATCATTAGTATGAATTAATCGAGCTGAAAAATGTTACAGTAAATTCATTAAGACTAAAATTCCACGAATTACCCTTACTAATGCTAATACGGTTTTATGCGTTGTTAAAATATGATCGATTTTAATAGATATTTAATTAAATTTAAAAAAAACTAATTCAGTTCAAAATATAGAAAATAAGTGCCTGAATTAAAATAGATGCCCCGACCAAACCTAAAATATATAAGAAAAGTCATATAATTTTAAATGAAATCTATTAATTTATAAAATAAAATAAAATAATTCTGCTAAGATAGATATTTGAACTTCACAATTAGTGTTGCATGATGAAGTACTTCGAAGTTGATTATTAACTATTTGCTAGCTAATAGTTTAACACACACATGCCGTTGAATAATTTGTACCTTAACTCATCCTCTCGTGTATTATGACAAGTCTTTATTTCTGATCTTCCCATAGAGTTCGTCGACCATACCCTAACCTTTTACGAATATTCAAGAAACCGACACGCATGTAGGTCAGTGACGGCTGTAAGACTTCGAAATATCTCTGAAGTCATCATATGATTCAAATTCCTGATAAATACGTTGATCATTCACCTATGACTAACTGTGTGTCGTTCTCTTCCAGCGGCGAATCCTTAACCGGTTCTCAATGGAAACTGTTAACTAATTTGTAGACAACTTCAAGGCAATACTGCGCAGACGTCGAGTCAAAATCTGTCGAGAACCTCGAGGGTACGTGTCAATCGTTTACCGTTAAATGGGTTTTAACTTATGGTATTCATTGTTTCATTCTCATCTCACTTACGGAATTATTAATAACTAGCTTTTCGCTCGCGAGTTACTTTCGCATTTATAATATTAGTATGGATAACGGCAAAAATATTCTATCTCTGTGCTGTCTGCTAGAGTTAACAATTATGTTCTTTAATCATTTGTGGAAAAGATTCATATCAGTTTTCGATTTTTTTCTAATTTTTATCTTACTTAGTTGCTTTTTGGGAAGCATCAGCTAGGATTGTTTTATGGAGCAAGAGAGGAAGAGGAGGAAGAGAAGGAGAAATCCACAGCAAAGCTCAAAGCGTACTCCTATGACTATCTATCATCAGTTACAATATCATGACGTCACCATGGCATTTCTAAAATGACTGTGTCTTCTACCAAGCTTTAATCGTTAACTTTGAGAGTTTATTCTTAATTTGTTTTGACTTTGTCTCGTTTGGTTCCTAGTCCCGAACTTAGAGTTTTAGTTAAAAACCTATAGTATTCGTGTTAAATTAATAAATCAATGGTCTAAATCTTCAAAAAAGAAATTGCAACCGTGGCTAATGAGTTCCCTCTACGACCTGTAGCCCTATTGATTTAAGTTATTCATTTTCTTTATTATATAATTTAGTTATTAGTTTGGTGATTACTATATTTACATACTTAGTTTATAATTTTTAATTAAAAACCTACATATAGTTATTGGTGCGATAATAATAAATTTCTAAAAACGTAATTGCTCGCGTCTGTACTTCCAATCATTAAACTGTATTATCCGATTAATGGTTTTGCGTGACTACGATAGCAGACAAACTTCCCCCGCGCTACCCTTGACCGACCGCCTCTTTTATAGGTCTGACCTAGAACCGGCTCGGTATTGTTTGCGGCTTAATTCGACATTTTGCTTGAATTAATTACCCTTTCCGACTTTTGAGGTGAGGTTGTCGTGTCACCAGTAAGGTAACGGAAGGCAACAGTAGACACATTGTTGAATGACAAAGTATGTATTTGCTATGATTAAAGTATATAATAAACAGTGACGAAATCACTGTTTTTTTGATTCGTTTGTTATGCCAAATATCTACTTGAATATAATTAGATATTTTCTGTAAATGACA